GAGGTCAAAGAAGGGGTCCTGTTTGTTGTTCTGGCAACGGTGTGTAAGAAGGTGATACTTGAATGGCAACCTGGTAAAATGGGAGAGCAAGCCATGTTACCACCAGAGAGAAAGGGCTCAAGGCAAAGCACGTGTCAAGGTCCTGAGGTGGGAGTGTGCTTGGAATATTCACACAACAGCGGGAGGCTCACTGTGGTTGAGGAGAGTAAGCAAGGAGGATGGGTAGGAGGTGAGATGGGAGTGATGGGTAAAGGCAGAGCCTCCAGGGCCCTGTACCAAAGATAAGGGATTTTCTTTTGCATTGAATGCCTTCCCCTTCCATCTGTAACTTGGTTGAGGTTGGAATTAACTTTAATCTGTTGCACATGCGAGCTAGTTGCCCCTCTGTTTACTGAATGGTCGTCTCTTCCTTGTTGATTGGAAATGCCATATCATATATTAATTGCATGTGTGTTTATACCTATGCACGTGCTTATCAACTCTCTTCCATTGATTTGTCTTCTTGCACTTGTACCATTTTGTTGAAATTAATGTGCCTTTTTACCAAACATTGGCAAATTATGGTCCACAGGGCCAAATTTGGCCTACCACTTAGATTTTATAAATAAAGTTTTATTGGAACACAGCTATCCTCATTTGTTTATCTATTGTTTATGGCTGCTTTGAGCTATAATGGCCCAGTAATTGCAACAGAGATGGCAAGGCCCACAAAGCCAAAAAATGTTTACGCCCTGGTCCTCTACAAAGAATTTACCGATCTCTGCTTTATACTATGGATCGCTATCTGATAGGGCACGTCCTTCCTCATTCTTCTTTTTCAACAGTTTCTTGGCAGGGCCAGCATGTTTATTCTTTCAGATGAACTTTAGAATCAATCTGCCTGCCTCCCTTCCTTTTCTCCACCTCTTTTGGGGTGGAGATCTGGGAGGCAGGAAGAATAGGAATTTGATTGCATTTAATTTGTAGTTTGGTGCAAAGGGGAAGTGATTGCTTTACAATACCAGGTCTTTCCACTCCAGCGCTGTAATATCTCTGATATCCCTACATTTATGTCTTTCAGAAAATTTTTATTGTTTTTTATGTGTATGTTACATATTTATTTATTCCTATGTGTATTTAATTGCTTTTTGTTGCTGTTACAGTTGAGATCATCCTCCAGCTCTATTTTACAAGTGACTATGGTATGAAGGAAAGGATTTGATTTTTAAGAATTTAAATTGTTTCTGACCTTCTTCTGGAAGTAAACTCCTATTTAGGACTGCTAATTTTAAAATTTGATTCTTTTGGTTGATGGTCATTGTCTGAACTTGCAGAATTGTTTCATTCCTAATATTTGTGTCTGTCTATATTGTGAAACCCTATGCTAGGGTAGTTTAGGGACATGGACTCCCCCCCACCCCCACATACTCAGTGTCATGGGGGGTGTGTGGGATTTCTTTTATTCTATGTAGGTCACAGCAAATGGTAATTTCAAAACAAAACAAAACAAAAAACAAAAAACAAAAACCCAGGAAGCTTTATGTCCAGTCAACGTTTGTCGATTGTTTTAAGAATACCCAGAGTATAATTTAGGCAAGCTGTTTATTAAACAGGCCTTACTTTTTTGCAGAGCTAGTTTTTGCTTTCAATATAGGATATAGAGTTTGCATGTCACACAGGAGAGTGAAACCCAGTCACTGCTTTACTGTGGAGAGTCATTTGATCATGGAATAAAGGTGACTTAACCTAGCATTTATCCTTTGGAATTGAAATATGAGCAGAAGGAAATTTTTATGAATCAGTTAGTGCTTTCCTAAATACGTTCTCTGTAAAGTATTTGATCTTTACCCTTAACATCTATTCCTTAAGGATGTGAAATCTATTTTAGATTTCAAGGTCTATTACTTGCCCTGAGCACTGAACACATGAACCATAAATTCAATATGTGTTAACCTTTGTGGATTTATCTTTTAATGCCATTTTTGTCTTTTTTTGGTCTGAATTTGTGTGCCTTCCTTAGCTGTTCCTTACCTTGGTGAAGCTAAAGAGAAATTATTCATGTCGCTGGTTTCTTTTCTTTCCCCTTTTCTTTTTCCTTTGGGCAAAGCGATGATGAGGTAGGTGGTGATGACAGTGGCTGTGGAAATGGAGAATCGCTGAGTGCATTGTGTGATTTGCGATACAAGCCTTGTTATCTGCATTGCCTGGGAAGTGAAAGTTCATATGTAGAACCTGGTCTTAAATGCTCTTGTCTGTTTTTCCCTCTGTGCTGAAATTATCTTTGACCATCGTTGTGAACATCAGTTTGTGGTGTATGAACACAGGAATGCCATCATAGGCTGTACAGACGTCCCAGGCAGGCCACCTGCTTCAGTCACAGAAGGAACCCCAACCTTGGAGTTTTTGTTATGGGGCTTGACTTGGACCTCTGGGAGTTGGCATTTCATTTCATTTCATATTTTATTTTATTGTTTTTTTTTTCAGTGAGCATTTTAGATAGCAGTGTGGTATGGAGAATGATATAAGCGAAATGTGATAATTGGTCTCTTTTATTGAACACTTAATATGGTCCAGACATTATAATGTATGTTTGCCACATCTTGGCATTATAATCTCATTTTATAGATGAAACATCGAGATTTAGGTTAAATAATTGGTAGACCTGAGATTCAAATCAGCTTTCATACTCCACAGAGAGGTTGTAAATCAAAGTGTATTTTGGCTGTGATTTTTGTTTGGGGCTTTCTGTGTCTCTGTATGTAGAAGGAGTTAGAAATTTTAATTCATTTAGATTGATTTTTTTCTGAAGGAGGGGCTAGAGGGAGAGGGAGGGAATCTTAAGCAGGCTCCACACCCAGCCCTGCACGGGGCTTAATTTCATAACCCTCAGACCGTGACCTGCACTGAAATCAAAGAGTCAGATGCTTAACCAACTGAGCCACCTAGGTGCCCTCATTTAGATTCTTTTATATGAATTTTGACAGTTGAATTAACATCAGGGTGGTGAGAAAGTACAGCATGGGGGGAGCATCTGGCAACCTCAGTGGTTGAATGGTCTTTGGCAAACCCCTTTTTCTGTCCCACACCATGTGGCCTCAGGGAAGAGAGAATCTAGACAGTTTTTGTGTTTTTTTTGGGTGGGGCCAGAATTTTATTTCAGGGTTTAATTTAGAGATGATGATGGAATGTATAATTTGTCTTCCGATTTTTAAATTGAGAGAGTACAAAAAAGGGGCGGTTGTGGTGTGGTGGTAAATGTGGGTCAGGAGGGCTGCGTGTGGATCCCTAAAGCCTCTCGTGGATCAGGAGAGCACTGTTGCTTCTAGCTTTAGAGACCCCACTCAGTGTTTATTAATTATAAACATAAGTAAATAAACATGCACACACCTACTCCACATGCTTTCCTAAACCTTTTCTGTGCAACTGCGCTAATTAAGATGAAAAATCAGGATTCTGGGCCACATTATGCCATCATTTACCTTAAGTATGGGTAAACCATTCAGATGCTAAACAAGCAACACTTGTCTATATTCGAAGCCCATTTAGAAGCTCATTTAGAGTCGGAGGCCCTGCTCTGGTTGTCTCTCAGCCTCTAATTTTGGTTAGTTGGGCAGTTCTCAATGGCTGTGACAGGAGCATCTGCCGCCAGGTGGGTCAGAGCCGTGCATGTGTGTGTGCAAGCGTGTGTTTGTCTGCTGCTCCTGACAGTGACGTGTAAATGCCAGAGGCTCTGCTGCCTGCCAGCCCCTCTGCTCTGTGGGCCAGCCCAGAACTGGATTCCTGGCACAATTTTGCAAAGTAAAGCTTTCTAAACACTGGCAGGGAAGTCAGCTCGCTTTCCAGACTCGGAGCAGCAGCTGAGTCCAGCCTAGTGCAGAAAACTTGTATTGTCTGCTCTTTGGTCTATTCTTTGCACCTAATACATGTCCCACATAAACCATTCCAGTGAAAGGCGACTTTTTTTTTTCTCTTTTTTATCAGAATGGCCTAACTCAGGGAGTTACAGTATCTTTTCAAGGTTACTTTGAGACTAACCTTTATGATAGTAAAGAAAAGGAGCCTAGTGTAAATCTTGATATTTTACAAAAATGCTTGTTTATTCAAATATAAAATTATTTGTAAAATTTTAACTTCCATTTATGTAGCCTAACACGCATGCGGGCCGTAAGAAATGTTGGAAATTAGAGATGCAAAAGCCTAGCAGTTGAGAGTTTTATGTTGTGTGGGATTCTAAGATGTGTGTATGATTTAGCATGTAATCCTGAAATTATTAGGGATGATGGGGGATACGTTCTTTGATTTGGACAGGTTTATGAGCATGATTTTCTGCTTCTGTGTTCCTGGGTTTGTGGCACTTTTTAATATTGCAATGCAAGTAACTATAGACTCCATCACTGGGCTCTGGGCTCGTGGACTCAGCTTGCAGTGTAATCCTTTGATTTGTCTGTGTTTGCTTGATGGGAGGGGAGGGACTTAGGTTCCATTTTTGCTCGCTCTCTTGTATAAGAGCCAACAAAATAAATATATTGCAAGAAATGCCAAATGGTTGAGATGCTTTTCTATTCTATTCTTGCCAGGAGCTTGATTTGATACTGTATTAGTAATTCTGGGGAAGAGAAAGGGAAAGAGAAAGAGAAAGTGAACACGTTTCTTTTGAGATCTTTCTTCTATTTGTGTGACTTGTTTAATTTGCTAACGTTATTGACATTTTTCTCTTATGTTCAGGTTCATTGCTGGTAGGATTTTACAACTACTGAGGGATTTTTGTTTTGCCTTGTTCCCATGAAAGTTTCATGAACTTAAACATTCGGGTTGGGAATTTAACTTTTATTGCCAGATTTTATTTCTAAGAGGTCAGTAGTTGCATGTTGTATTTCATTTAATAAGTGTCAAATTAATGGAGATACTATTCAATGGTAGCAAAACACTTGTTTTTCTTCACTTCTGAGTTTTCTTCTTTTACAGTCTTCTGGCAGCATGGGAAATAAATGACACTGAATTTTCTTCTTTTTCTTTTAAAGACTTCCAGCTGAACTCTCATCTCTCAACACTGGCAAATATTCATAAGATCTACCACACTCTTAATAAGCTAGTAAGTCATTCTTTTAAAGACAAAACTACCAGCCGTTTAAAGTAGTTGTTTTAAGTGTATTTGGTAGAAGTTTAGAACACAGATACTAAGATATCGTCTGTTTATGGAAATGTTGACGAATCTTAAAACTTGCTATATGGTACGTGATTTCTTGGTATTAACGAACCCATTTCTTGCAGAATCTAACAGAAGACGTTGGCCAAGACGATCACCCAACAGGTATCTTTAATGCTTACACTACTTACTTTTAAATAAGCTTTGTAATAGAAAGTTATGAAGGAGAAGTACTAGCTGAGAGTGATCTGTGTTGTAATACACCAACAAGTTGTTACTTGGTTGAGGATGTTTTACAGGGTGTAGGAAGGAAGCCATGTTCTAGCTCCTTCGCGGTGGCGTGTCTCTGTCTTGGGGCTCTGGTTTATGTCAGAGTACTTCAGTCCCTTTACATTGGCTGGGAATATTCCCTAGCAGTCTCACGGTACTGTTTCTTCACTAAAGTATTTTAGTTTACACTAAAAACTCCAGTCGTGCAGTTTGAAAGGTATTCCACAAATGCTTGCTGGATTGAGATGAAACATGATTTGATAAGTGGGTAGGGGATTGCATGTATGTGTTGTGTAGGTCTTAGGGATTTACGAATTGGAAAATTGAAACAATTATTATAAACCGTTCTCTAGTCCTGTGGTTCTTCAACTTCAGCTAGCCTATAATCAGCTGGGGAGGGCTTGTTAAAACAGATTGCTGGGCTCCACCCCCAGAGTCTCTGATTCTGTAGATTTGGGCTGGGGCCCCAGAGTTTGCATTTCTAACAAGCTCTCACATGATGCCGATGCAGCAGCCGGGCAGGAGACCACACTTTGAGAACCGCTTGTCTAAACTGTTGACAATCCTGAAGTTCAGAAATGTGTGCTTGATCTGTGGTTATTACGTCTTCCAGCAAAAATTATTAAAATATATTTAAAAGGTTTTGAAAATTACTGCAGTGATACAGGAATACGTGCTTGCTGGTGAATTTTGACCAGCACAAAAGTGAATGGAGTAAAAAGTGACAGTCCTCCTCTTCTCCCATCCAGCCTTCCCCCAGTATGCTGTTTCATGTCCGTTCTTTGCGTTTTATAGTACTTTTAGAAATTCAGCATCGGTGAGATCATGCTGTACATATTACACAGCATCTTTCTTTTTTCATTTAATGGTATATCTTGGGGCTTGGGGGATTTAGAGCTGTCTCACCCTCTCTCTAGATTGGTTCAGAATCAGTTGAAAATTAGATGCAAGATGGAGATCGAATAACAGTTTTGTTGGAAAACACAGCCTAGATGTATAGCAAGAATGCAGAGGCTTTCCTATATTCACCTGAATTAGACAGCCCTACACCTAGTTACTGCCACGACGAGGTATGCACAGGCCAGCACACTGCTGTCCCCCCTCTGGCGGAGGAGTCTGAGCTGCTGCTGGCCGGCCAGTCTGAAAGGGAGTTCAGGAAGGGCTGTGGGCCCTTCTGCTCAGCTCCTTCTCCCTGGATCACTAATTAGATCAGACACTCCTCCTTCCAGGGTAAGGAGTGAGAAAAGGGGGTGGGGGGGTGGGGCAGAGTCTGTGCCCGGAGTGTTCCAGAAGGCCAGGCCACAGAGGCTCCCTTCACCTGATCTTTCTGTGTCAGTGAATCAACTCAAGGACAATCAAAAACAATTTACTTAATACATTTTGAAAACAGTGTATGCACATGGTTTTAAAGATGTCGGAAAGGTATAAAATAAAAAATGAAAATTTCTGTTCCAATTTATTACCCCCAGCTTCCCCACCCCACCAGTACTCCACATTTGATTCTGTAGAGGTAACTCTTCTATTCTTACGTTTGTTTCCCTGCCGATGGGGATATTCCTCCCACAAAAGTATATGTTTGTATGTGCCTCTTGTATTTGTCACTCTGTGTATCTTGATCTTTTTATAGTAGCACATTTTTAAAGCATCTGCTTTATATTTTAAAGTCTCCGCATTTTTCAAGTTCATGGGTATATCATAATATATCTGCAGCCTCCTACTGATATGCATTTAAGTGTGTTTAACTTGGCTGCTACCAATAATGCTGAAATAAAATTTTCAGGGCTGCTGTTAATAGTTCAGAAGTAAAGCACATTCGTCTCCAGTTCTGAACCAGAATGTTGGTGGGCTCTGAGGATTTGCAGTCTTGATTTAAAACTGAATGTTGTGTTGGTACAGCCTTGAGGTTGTCTTGTCTCTTCTTTAGCTGAGGTAGTAAAAGCTCTAAGTTCTGAATCTTGTACGTTGTGTAGTTAACTTTGAACTTTGGATTCAAATGAATATTGTTACTATAGTAATGTTATATCTAAATATTTAACCCAAATGTGGTGATTTAATAACTGGAAGCTGTAATTAAGAAAATGAAAGTAGAAAATGTATTTGGCCTCATGCCTCCTCTTTTCACCCTTGGGGACGGTGCCTATGTATGCTGTTTGGTGTGTAACATGCTGGTGCAGTGCCGGGTCCCTTGTATATGCCGGTTGGTGGCAGTTAGCATCAGTCATTTCTTAGAATATCTCTTGCTCTAACATTTCCCCATTTGTTTATAGCATCACCTGTGAGGACCATACTTGACAGAGTGTGCTTTAAGAACTTGAACAACATAAAATCCATGATGTTTAGCGATCTGAGAACATTGATCACCCTAATGCTGTTTTGAATCTTTGGCCCAGCCGTAGCCTCAGCAATATCTGTAAGAAATTATGTGGAAGAGCCAAACCCAAGTGTGAGAGAGGCTGCTGTCTTCCTGCTGTGTCTCTTCTAACACTTTTCTTTGGTGCTCTCAGTCTTTCTCCTACCAAAAAAAAAAAAAAAAAAAAAAAAGAGACAGAGAGAGTTAATCTTGGACAAGTAGCCCCAAATCTAAATTACAGGGAATGAATATAAAAAAAGCCAAATGGAGAGGGGGAAAAAAAATGAGTAAGGAAAAAGATGCTAGATGTCAGAAATGAGTATTTAGAGAGAAAGGAATGGAATAAAGTTTTTTCTTAAATAGGATAAAAATTGCACATTTAGACGTTAACAGTTTCACTCAAGCAGGCAAGTAGTTCAATGATCTGTTCAAGGAAATGAAAGAAAATATTAGGTACTGGAGAGATGTTTTCAAATGTGATTTATTTATCAACTGCAATCACTATGTCTTTGTGACATTGTTCAGTGAATAGTGAGGTGAAATAGCTAGATAAGTACTGAAGCAGCAGAAGGAACCGTGTAAAATGTTAAGTGAAACAAGGTTATGATACAACAAACTCAAATGAAAAGTTAGTGAGATTTTTGTATTAGAACGTGCATTGACACTTACAGGAAAAATCAGACAAATTCTCTAATTTTAGATCTGTTGAGCCCCCAAAACAAAAATATTAAAAAAGAAATGGCATTGGAACACCTACTTAGATACTGTTTATTAAAAATAACAGGTTTAATTGAATTATTGTCGAAACAAAGCTGGGTAGTCACTAAAGGGCCTTTAGTCTGATCGAGATGAGTTCGATTTGCTCTTTGAAATAGATTTTGTGAGACCAAATATTAAAATAAATACGCTGAAAGACGTTGGCAGTATTTTTGTTTAATGTGGGAAGAATTCACTGACTACTTGATTTATTTGAAAATATAGGCAGTTAATAGAATATTTCACTTGTTCTCTTTAGCAGCTTGATCACTTTAGAACTATTTTAGATCTGCTTTTTTTTTAGTGATCTGGAGTTCTTTTTTTTTATTTTATTTATTTATTCATGAGAATACACAGAGAGGTGAGAGAGAGAGAGGCAGAGATACAGGCAGAGGGAGAAGCAGGCTCCATGCGGGGAGCCCGATGTTGGACTTGACCCTGGGTCCCCAGGCTCATGCCCTGGGCCGAAGGCGGCGCTAAACTGCTGAGCCACCCGGGCTGCCCGATCTGAAGTTCTTTTAACGCTAAACCAAAAAGAAATGAACCTGAACTCAAATTATAACCCTTGGGTAAAAAATATGAGCAATTTTTATTGCCTCCTTAAGGACCATGTATACACACCCCAGCATTGGGGTCGATTTCAGACTGTTCATCTGAACACCAGAACATCAAAATAATATTAAGGAGTGTGAGTTATCGGGATTACTAGTTGAGATTCTTCTCCTCCTCTTCCTCCTTTATTATTATTATCAAAAGGCTTTTTCTTCTTTCATGTGTATCTGCCAAATATTTTTCATGATGTAAGATGGATCTTTAAAATCTTTTTCATCACGCCTTTTGCTCAGGCGATTGTCAGAGAATAAAAACTTGCATCATTTCAACTGAATTTGAGTTTCTTAAAATGCATCTATTGGAATTTGTTTATCTTTGTTAAGTATTTATTGATCTAGGAACTTTTGGGGGCTCAGCTTTATCGGCCATTTTCTCATCTGTGGAATTGGGACCTAATAATGCCACTTAGATTTGTGAGGATAACTTTGGAAGTGCTTCAGAGTTATTCTTCAAAGTGTCGGCCTTAATATTTTGCCTCGATCTGTAATGTCAGATTGATTGTACTTAAGTAGATACTTTTAGGAGGCAAACATTTTCATAAATTGTTCTTTTAGTTTAGAGATAAAGTTGAGTTGTAGTAGATGAAGTGATATAAGTTCTGAGCTAGTAAAGCCTAAATTTAAATCTAATGATACAACTAAATACAAATTTGTAAAACATTCATTTAAATGAGTATAATTTTTATTATAAAAAGGCTTATCACAAGGTTATTTTAAGAAGCCAACATTCCCAAATATTTTTGTTTAAGAGAATCCTGCTTGCCAGGAGACCTAAAATCAAGTGCTTATTTTACTGACAGGAAAGAAAATCTGAAATGATACTTTATCTATGCATAGGTAATTTAAATGTCTGAGAAGATACTGAGGAAATGTACTGACTTTTCAAGTAGAATTTGATTTACACATGTTTCAGGAACACATTTATTTCACAGTACTTATTGAGAGTCTCCTGTAGGATTCTCAATAATGTATGGATCTTACTATTATTGTACTAAGGTACTGTATTAGCTGCTGTGTATGCACAGGTGAACCAGATGGGGCCCTGCAAACCAACGTGTACCTGCGTATGTGTACTTAAAATCTCTCGCTGTTGCTGTCACTCAGGAAGGATCCCTGGAGCTATGCTAGGGAGAAGGGGACCAGGTTTGGGGCACATTAGTCTTGAGTTGTGTCCTCTGTATATTTTATTGACTTGATTCATATTGGCAAAGTATTTTAAGTAAACTTATTTGCCTCGATATTAAAAAATTGCTTTTTAGGTAGCCTGAAACTCCTCACTGTCAATGTGGGTTCTAGGCTTCTGCCTCTGGAGTTAGGCCGTGTAGTCCTTTGTATCTTCCCTGGGGGATGAGTTGGACACATCTTTCCTCTGAGGCAAGGGTGAAAGGGTCAGTGAGCCAGTGAATGCCTGAACTCTGGTGGGCACCAGGAAGGTGAGCAGACATCATTTTTTTTGCAAAAGATGGCCCCCTAATAGCTACTCGCTTGTGCTGATCACTGGAGCAGAGGAAAATCTAAGCAAAAACCATGGTTCTTAGAAGATAAAAAATTTAAAAACATAAAAAAAATGCCAAATTTGGGCTCAAGTATGAGTGCATTTTACACAAACACAAAAAATGATTTGTGAAACTTTTCACAGAAAACATGGGTCAATAAGGAAGAAAATAAGAGAAAGTTGAAAAAGTTAGTTAATTGATGATGCATGTACGTTTACCAAAAATATGATACTCTTGGTGTGTAGGACTCAGTGAAGCCAGGCATCACACCAGTTTGCCTCCGAGGAAGCAGATAGGAGAGGAGCTAGCGGATTAACCTTTATGGGCAAATATTGGTGAAGACATGATCTTAGTGTGTGCATTGTTCGATGCGCTGAGGAGATAGTGCATTTTCCTCCACGTTCTGCAAACACTGGCGTAAGGGAATGGTTATTGCCACACGAGGTGCTCAGAGCCAAGCCATGGCCAGTACTGGAAGGAAATGACCTCTTTTGTTGTTGTTGTTGTTGTTTAAGAGTGAGAGTGAGCGGTGTGCAAGGGGGCAGGGAGGGGCAGGGGAGAGGGAGAGCGTCTGCCCAGCCCAGAGCCTGATGTGGGGCTTGATCTCACCATCCTGAGGTCATGACCTCAGCTAAAATCAAGAGTTAGATACTTAATCGCCTCTTCCACCCAGGAGCCCCCGACTGTTCCTCATGCATACAAACCCAAGGAGGGCAAAGTGAGCTTTGGGGTTTAAGACAGACCACTCTTTCCTCCTTCCCTCCTCTCTCTCAAATTATAGTCGACATCAATGTTCTGTTTCAAGTGTACAACATACTGATTTGACATTTCTGTGTATTACACAGTGTTCACCAGGGTAAGTGTAGTTACCCTCTCACACCATACGGAGTTATTATAGTCCTGCTGACTGGGCTATACTTTGTATCCCTGTGACTCATTTATCCTCTTAATTCCTTTCTCCTATTTTATTTTTTTTTATTTGTGTTTTTTAGATTCTACACATATAAGTAAAATCATACGGTGTCTTTTTCTGACTTCACTTAGTATAATACTCTCCAGTTCCCTCCATGTTGTTGCAAATGGCAAGACCTCATTGTTTTTCATGGCTAATACTCCACGAGGTGTATGCACCGCATCTTTATCCATTTGTCTGTTGATGGCCGCTTAGGTTGCTTCCCTGTCGGCGGCGGTTGTAAGTAACGCCGAACACACGTAGGAATGCACATGTTATTTCCCAGTTCGTGTTTTTGTCCTCCTTGGGTTTACTGGATCATCGGGTATCACCAGTTTCCTTTTTTTTTGAGGCACCCCCGTACGGTCTTCCAGGGTGGCTGCACCAGTTTGGGCTCCCGCCCGCGGTGCGCGAGGGCTCCCGGGTCCCACGTCCTCGCCGGCACCTGGTCTCGTTGTGCATGGGGGTGTGTGTGTGGGGGGGAGCCTGCCAGCTGGGGGCCCTACTGCTGCATCATGCACACCCCACCCCGCAGCATCCAGGGACAAGAATCTTTTTTTTTTTTTTTGCAAAAGCTTGAGTCACTCTGACACTCTTTGGACCTTTTTGTATGCTTTAGGGTTGTTTATAAACAGGCCCATTTTTCTTTTTTTTAAAAGATTTATTTATTTATCCATGAGACACACAGGGAGAGAGGGAGAGACACAGGCAGAGGGAGAAGCAGGCTCCACGCAGGGATCCCGACGTGGGACTCAATCCCGGGACCCCAGGATCACGCCCTGGGCCGAAGGCAGGTGCTAAACCGCTGAGCCCCCCAGGGGTCCCCTGAACAGGACCATTTTGCAGGGAAAATGGGGTGCGTGTGGTGTGGGCAGCACTTACCCCCTTCCTCTCCCGGTCACTGCTGCCGCCACGGGACTGCGGGTGCCGTGGGTCCATGTCTCCCATCCTCGGCAGGACGGGGCCTGGTGGGGACCTGGAGAGGGGCGGCCGAGGGTCACTTCTGTGCTGAGGGGGGAGGCGGGACGGTGGGGGTGCGGGCACCGTCACGCGGTGCGGGGCACCTGCCCGGGTCGGGCTCTGGCCCTGGTCTGTGGCCCGAAAGGTGCGGCTGCACGTTCCTGGCTCCTGAAGTTCGTCGGTCGCCCCCGGCACCCGATGGTGGCCCTTCCTGGGGTCCTGACCGTGAGCTACTGACCGCGCCATCCCCGGCCTCGGAGCAGGCTTCCAGAAGGGCTGTCAGGGCATGGGCCTCAGGCCTCTGCTCCTGCTCTGTCACCGTCCGCTGCCGCTTGCCGCCCTCCCCGGCCCTCCTCCCCCGGCTCTCGGCCCGGCAGCGTGGGGATGCCACCACCGTGGGGTCCGGCCTGGCCCTGGCCGCACCCTGCCTCCCCCCCCCATCCCCAGAGTCGGTCCTCACGCAGGGCTCGGCGCCCAAGCTCTTATCGGGTGTTTGTCTCCGTAAAACTCCTAAGCGGGGGACACATAAGTGGTGGAGGGCGCGATCCCGGGGTCCCGGGATCAAGTCCCGCCTCAGGCTCCCCGTGGGGAGGCTGCTCTCCTCTGCCTGGGTCTCGGCCTCTCTCTGTGTGTGTCTCATGAGTAAATAAATAAAATCTTACCAAAAAAAACCCTGAGAAGGAGGTATCCCAGTTCTTACTCTTTAAATGATGAACCAGACCCGGTCGGTGACCGACCAAGCCCCCTAGTTGGGTGAAGGGCTAGAGCTGATGCATTGAATGTGGATCGTTCAGACACCAGCACCCTTTTGCTCTCTCGTCCTCTGACTCTCTGAGAGCCCACGGCCTTCCGGGAATGGGCTGCTGGAAGGAGGAGAGAGACAGGGGCCCAGAATTCGTCCCTAGACACTTTTGGGGCCTTTGGAAAATCACTTGGATGCCCAGGCTTTGGTTTTCCCCATCTGTCACGTACAGATAATTATCCCTGTCCTGCCTGGCTTTCGGGGTTATTGTGGGACCCAAATGGCATATGTGATAGCGCCTGTGCCAGGATGGGCACATTTTAATTGCCTTATAATTGTTTCGTAATTTGTAAGGGTTTTAGACCATCGGAAGCAGGAACTACCTGGGTTTGAATTAAAGTTTTGCCTAACCTCTCCCTGCCCTGCCCCTATTCTCTCATCGGCATAGGCAGTCCCGATGCTTCTCTTTTCGTAAGCCTGGTAGGAGGTTAACAAGTGACGACATGGTGTAAGTGTTGGGAACGGGGCCTGGCTCCCAGGGAGGTCTCTGTAAGTGCTCCTTGCTGGGATTGTCGGTTGTTACTACACGTGAACATCTTTCACCCGATGAAAGTCACGCTTCTGAAAATCCTGGCAGAAAGTGGCAGAAATGGATGAAAAATTATTATGGAAATTTTGTTCAAGATCATAGACTGCTGTGCAAAAAATCTAAATCCTGTTTTTTTTGGTTGTTGTTTTTTTTGTTTTTTAAGATCAGATATCCCTCGAAACTTAGGAGTATTGGGGCTGATGTGCTTGTTTGTATTTTAGAGTCAAGGTGACTGGCTGACCTGGCCTTGCCTGATGACATACACAAAGGAGATAGCGGTGCGGTTCCTTTGGAAGGAACATTGCCACGTATAAGACACTGGAAGCCCTGATGATTTATATTAGTGTTTTTGGAGAGTAAATGGAAATTGTGATTACTTCCGTTTCTCATGTGGTTTTGGTGGGGGGAGTATTGACTTAGTTGTGTTGTTGCAAGGTTTATTTCTTGACTGTAACATTTTCTCAAAGAGGAACTAAACACCCTTTTTTTTTTCCACCTTAGAACATTTACAGAGACCATCTAACCCCTTTACACTACAGGCCACGAACATTTTTTAATTTGGCGGGTGGGATGCTCTGGGAATGCTGGGCTGTGGCTAACCCTGCCGTTGTGCCCCGTGGCTCTCTGTCCCCAGGAAGCCTGCGGTCTTGCAGCTCTTCAGACTGCTTTAGTAAAGTGATGCCGCCGAGGAAAAAGAGGAGACCTGCCTCCGGAGATGACTTATCCGCCAAGAAAAGTAGACACGATGGGTATGTCGCAGAGACAGTAGATCAAACTTGGTGACGTGCATCAAAGAATTTGAATTAACATTTTCAAAGTGTAGTTACCTTGTGATGTTTCTTTTACGTGTGGGTTTATAAAACAAAAACCAAATTAGGTAAGTCGAGTTCTTAGAAATTGAAGTTTTCTCTCAGTCCGTTGATCCACCAAAACTGGTGTAGAGTTTCTTTCTTTCCTTTTAAGGGCTTGTCGTCTGTGCCTGTTGAGGACCACGGGGTCGGTACGTATCTGTTCTCTACGAGGGTCTCACTCACCACACACAACCACAGGGCCGAGTTCTTGCTTCCTCAGGGGACCTGGGCCGAGAGGCTGGGGAGCACCGTGGCAGCTGGACGCTCTCAGCCTGCTTGGAGAGCTTGAGCAGAGCTTGAGGCTCAGATGAGTGAGACTTTGCTAGAAACGGTGAAAAAGGAGACTGTGTAAACCACTTCTCTTTCAGACAAGGGAACTGCTTAATTTTGGTGACCCTAAAAGTCATTTGACTTATTTATTTTAGGCATCTTTATTAGATCACCTTGATTTTCATGAGTCATTTTTTCTTTTCTCTCTCTCTTTCTCTCTCTCTCTCTTTTTAACAATAAACAGACATCGTAACTTCAATCTTTTTTGCCTTTTTTCCATTTTCCTCCATCCTGGCTCTGTAGGTTACCTCACTAATGGGCCTGAATATTCACATCTAAAAATCAAAGGGATGAGATAAGATTTTTCTGTTTCTTTCTTGCTGTGATACCTCATCTGCCCCAGCTAGGTTGGAAGGATAAGATGGACTCCAACAATGTGAAAGTGGTGTCAACTCTTCATATCCCAGATGAGTAGAAAATACGATCTATATAGGAAGATAGCAGTGACTGAGAAGACCATCCCCAGCAATGTCTAGTGATTTTCAATAGCTTTGGGAAGCCAGGTCACTTAATACTTCTTTGGTAGTGTAGATGTTATTGTCATGGAACTGTTGAATTCTAATCACCACACAGCATTTTGTGACTCTAATATGTGGCGCTTGTTCTTTCTCACCACAGTCTGATACAATTTAGTGTGAAAAAGCTAGTTTAAAAACTAGTAGCTGTGTTGCAGAAGGGTGTGAAATACCCTTACTGATAGCATTTCATTGGCCACCAGAGGGATAGGGGTCTATAGCTTTAGCTGAGTTTCTTTCTTGGGCTTTTTAAAAAAACAATTTTATTTATTTACCATACAATTTTATTTACATACCATATACGTTAAGTATACAATTCAGTGATTTTTACTAAGTAGTTAAAAGTTAGGTGACCATCACTACAAACCAGGTTTAGAACGTCTCCGCCCCCTTTTCCCCCAATGAGATCCCTGATGCCATTCACAGTCACCCCTTGTTCCCACCCCCAAGCCCCCCACAACCACCAGTCCAGCTTCCATCTACAGGTTTGCCTTTTCTGGACATTTCACGTGGAGTGGTCTTTTTGTGTCATGCTTCTTTCACTTAGCATGATGTTTTTGAGGTTCATCCATGTAATAAGCATGTGTCACTATTTTTCTTTTATCTACTGAATGCTATTCAGTTGTCCTTTTTTTATGTAGAGTATTTTTAGGCAACTCAAATATTGCAGTGTCGTATGTAGGTCTCTGTATTGTTGACCAGTTATATCCTTTGAGTTGAGAATGTCTAGACCCAAGATTGGAACTTGTATGTTTGAACCCTTGGCCGGTACCCACTGTTTTTTTCTGGGTACCAAGGCTGCCTCTTGTAGAAGAAATACAAAACGAATGGTTTGCAGTGTCAGTATCTTAATACTCTCTAGTCATGTTACTATTAAAACCCGAATCTCTAATCAGAGGTATAGATAGACACTCGGGTGAATGTCTAGGTCATGACTAAAAACTTACTAAAAAGTAATTATGTATGATCTTTGCAACATATAATATATAAATTAAAACCGTATTCATAAATAATCATAAATATGTATACACCACACCTATTGAGGCAATTTATATATAAATGAGGGAAAGAAAAAGTATATACTCATAATTTTTCTATTAAAATGACTATTTTAAAGATCCTGCCATCTCTCCCCTCCCCAGGTAGGGAAAATCTTGGTTCTTAGCCCCAGGTCATTGTGAAATAAAGAATTCCTGCAGAAAGTCACACTGTTGGCAGGAGGAGGCCACCGGGCTTCCTGACTCCGTCCTCCAGCTCATGCTGGGTGTTTCCACCACAGTGGGGCATTACGGGGGGGGGGGGGGCTGGTGGAAGCCAGGGTTCCTCTACACCTCTCTGTCCTGAGGTCCCCCCCCCCGGAGGATTGCGCATAATTTAGTGTTTCTTTTTATTTGCTTAATGTTCCCTTGACCTAATACTGACAGGTTCTTCTTTAGACTGTGTACTGTGCCCACCCTGACTCATAAGACATGAAAGTCCGGAGAATTTAATGCAGAGCCATGTCCTGTGAGTGAGTTCTAGGGTCAGCCCTTGAAGAAGACACTGTAGCCATTTCTGGCTGTGTCTCACTCTATCATTCTGTAGTCATTCTGGCTCATGAGGCAGAGGGGAATACATCAGATCAGTTCTTAACTGAGGACTTCTTAATCAGAGCAAAGACCTATATCACGAATTTACCGTTCAGTTCTGTTTTGGGTCTGCCTGTAGTTATAAAAACTGAAACTTCCAAATGCAGGAAGTAAAATGTTTAACATAAACTGGAAATACTGAATAGATGTCTGGTTTGGGTGAAAGAATGAAAACGATCTACTACTTAGAAGAAACTCAGCCTTTTAAAATAACTTCAGACTCCTTTCTCGATTTCTAGCATGTATAGGAAATATGATTCAACCAGAATAAAGACGGAAGAAGAAGCCTTTTCAAGTAAGAGATGCTTAGAGTGGTTCTACGAATATGCAGGTAGGTCCTCATTTAGATGATCTCAGACTGAGCCTCGTGAAAATAAGGACTATCTCAGGGAGGATTAAAGGATTTAAAAATGTGCACTTTTCTGATGTGGTTTGTGTGCCGTCTCTTCCTGTTTGAGGGAGGGAACATCGTCGAAACAAATCACCAAATGTCCTATTTATAGCCAGCAGCTAAGCCAAAGAATTCAGAACACTAGAAGGGAACTGAAAAGATGAATGCACTTGGGAGAAATACTCGGGATTGCTAGGAAACCTATTTAGAATGCTGGGAGTGGGTGACTGGTTTGTACATCAAAGTTAAAATAAGCTTTGCTGCTTTGAACCCTTATGTGCAATGGAATCTCTTATATTAAGTGTCTATTTTGAAAGATCATTTGGCAGAAAATGTTTGTTTTGTCATTTAAAATGTCTTAAATTCAGTCCTATTTTTGCAACTTACAATAACTGGTTGGGTAATATCATACTGAAATCCAGGGGTGGTTTGTCACTGTGGCTGTGTGCAGTGCAAAAAGAAAAGGAGTGTTTCCAGACAAGTTTGAGCCAAAGGCTCCTCTCACTTTCCTCTTTGCCATGTTTCTGGCCTTTTCATAGCCTATAAATTTGACGATTTCAGCCCCTTGGCAAACCGATTTTCCTGTCATATCTGTCTCTGCTCCCAGCTAGGTTTCACGGGCCTCCCGTTGTCTTATTTAAAAAACAAAACAAAAACAAGAAAACTGAATAGATTGTACATGTGATTCCCTAGCAGTCCCCTCCAGCTTTGTCTCTTGTTGAAAACTCCCTGCAACCTACAGGTTGGAAGACCTGACTCACTGCCATCCCTCCACCTGGAGTGTTTTCTCTCTGCTTTTCCATCTGACAGCCCTCGTTGTACATCTTCGAAGCCCCTTAATTAGTCTAATAGCCTTCTTTGTACTTTACGGGACATTTTTCATAACTAGTTCTCCTACCCTTTCATTAGGTGTCAAAGCGAGGGTGCCTCCTGTGGTCTGATCTTGCTGTTCCCCCCTCCCTGCCTCACCGTTTTCGTTTTCTTTCTTTCTTTTTCTTTTTTTAAGATTTATTTTTAAGTAATCTCTCCACCCAGCTTGGGGCTTGAACTCATGACCCTGAGATCAGGAGTCACACACTCCACCAACTGAACCAACCAGGCGCCCCCAGCACGTGTAGGTTTCTTTTGGTTTTGTTTTTTATTTGTCTTTCGTTTTGATGTGCTTCACTTTAATAAGCATTGCAGGTACTGTGTTTTTTACAGCTTGATGATTTGAGGTGGCCCTGCATGAAGCTAATCTTCCTACACCATTTTTTGGACAGCATTTGCTTACTTGGTGTCTCTATGTCATGTTTTAGCAATTTTCACAATATTTCAGATTTTTTCATTATTTGTTATGGTGATTTTTTTTTGGGGGGGAGATGCTATGGTGATTTTTTAAATGATTATTTTTTAATTAAAATTAAATTTGCCAGCATATAGTATAACACTCAGTGCTCATCACATCACTTATCCTTCTTAATGCCCGTCACCCAGTTACCCATCACCCCCCTTCTGCAACCCTTTGTTTTCCAGAGTTAGGAGTCTCTCATAGTTTGTCTTCCTCTAATTTTTTCCCCACTCAGTTTCCCTTTTGGTCCTTTTCACTATTATATTCCACATATGAATGAAAGCATATGATAATTGTCTTTCTCTGATTGACTTATTTCATTCAGTGTAATACCCTCCAGTTCCATCCACATTGAAGCAAATGGTGGGTACTCGTCCTTTCTGATGGCTGAGTAATATTCCACTGTCTGTATAGACCACATCTTCTTTATCCATTCATCTGCCAAAGGACGTTGTGGCTCCTCCCACAGTTCAGCTATTGTGGATCTTGCTGCTGTGAACATTGGGGTGCAGGTGTTCTGGCGTTCTACTGCATCTGTTTCTTTGGGTGAATACCTAGTGGTATAATTGCTGGGTCGTAGGGTAGCTCTATTTTTAACTGCTTGAGGAACCTCCATGTAGTTTTCCAGAGTGACTGCACCAGCCTGCATTCCCACCAACAGTGCAAGAGGGCTCCCCTTTCTCCACGTCCTCACCAACATTGTTTCCTGTGTTGTTAATTTTAGCCATTCTCACTGGTATCATTGTGATTTTGATTTGTATTTCTGTGATGATTAGTGATGTGGAGCATTTTTCCCTGTGCTTGTTGGCCATGTGTAGGTCGTCTTTGGAGAAATGTCTGTTCATGTCTTTTGCCCATTTCTTGAATAGATTGTTTGGTTTTTGGGTGTTGAGTTTGATAAGTTCTTTATAGATCTTGGATACTAGTCCTTTATCTGGTATGTCATTTGTGAATATCTTCTGCCATTCTGTAGGTTGCCTTTTAGTTTGGTGATTGTTTCCTTTGCTGTGCAGAGCTTTTTATCTTGATGAAGTTCCAATAGTTCATTATTGCTTTTGTTTCCCTGCCTTTATAGACGTGTCTTGCAAGAAGTTGCTGTGGCCAAGTTCAAAGATGTTGCTGCTTATGTTCTCCTTTAGGATTTTGATGGATTTCTGTGTCACATTTAGATCTTTCATCCATTTTGCATTTATCTTTGTGTACCTATCCATTTTCTGGTAAGAGCCTGGCCCCTTTGGCCACAGATGTTGTGCCATGGGGCTGGCAGATGACTCAGGCCAGACCAATCAGATAACATTTCCTGAGATTTTCAGATTGAAGCTAGGAGAAGAGTATCTTTCTCTTCGGGTGGTAGACTTGAAAGGGCATGATGTGCTGATTCCTGGAGGTCTTTGGATTTTTTGTTAACCACCTCAGTATCTTTCTAATGAATTCTCCTTCGTAATTTGAACAGGTTTGAGCTGGATTGTGTTTGCAGGGCATGGACATTCATATAAATGCTTATTACATAGTATTTGAACATATGTGTTTCCATGTTACATCATGAAGAAATGAATCTCTTGAAGACATTTTGTATTCCTAAGAAAAGTGGTTGGCACTCTGCCAGGCGTTTGATAGATGGGTGCTGGATGACGAGTTTTCTCATATTTGTATCACTTTGATTATGAAGGTTTTTTGCTTTCTTATCTTGGTTCATAGTGATTTTTATGAAGTGAGTTAGGAAAAGGACGTTTTAAACAGACAAAAAGTACACTTACTTCTACCGTCAGAGCATAGCTCTTTTGATTTGTGTGTGTGTGTGTCTTCCTTTACAAGCAAACATAATTTTTCCATGGTATGACGACACTTCTGTTTCCTTTAAGAAGAGAACAGGCTACAGTTTTCCTTCTTGTTTGCTTTCTTCTGGCTCAGGACAGTGACATTTGGGATAAAGTTTAAGCCACATTCTTTAGGTTCCTTGAGATCCCTGTCAGATGGCTCCTTGCAGTTCATCCTTGCAAAAGTTTTGTGGGTATGGCTATCCCTATTTTTATCCACCATTCTCATTTTATAAGGGAAAATGGCTTAAAATTGGGAATCATTCAGAGCCCCAATTAAAGTTTTCACTTTTAATGATCTCAAGCACATGGATGTGAGCTGTAGATCATTATTCAAGAAAGACAAATGGTGAGATGACCAGGGTGTCTGTCAGGTTGTGCTATGGGATGAGCTAGCTAGCACGAGGAAGGCTTTAACACCCATGCTGAGTTCTGTGTCCTTAGGAAAGAGCTAGCCGGTTTGGGTGGACTCCCTGCACTTTAATCTGGAGTGGATCATACAGGCCTTGGTGGTGGAGTTGTTTCATAGGGGTGCCCCTTTTGTTCTTCCAACATCTACCCAGAGTTCTTGGTTCCACTTCTTGCCCTGCCCTCTGCTGCCCGGGGCTCCTGCAGCCTGAGCCCAGCTCCTCACTGGCCTGTTAACCCCAGCACTGCTTTACACATTCTGGGATGCAGCCTCTCCCCTTTTAATATCCCTATCAGCTCCATTTCTGATTCTCAGACATGTAATTAATGAAACCCACTCCACTGGAGGCTCTTCCTCCTGGGCGCTGTGGTCATAGGTTTCCTCCCTTTTGGACTTTGGTCCTTCCGTCTTTGTGACTTGAGAAAGGAAGGTGGACGAGTGCTATTTAACCTCCATCTGAAACTGGAGTCCCATTTCTTTCCAATAGCTTGAAAAGAACCAGTTTTGCATCAAAAATTTACCTAATTTCCATTTTCTGAAATATATCTAAGAGAAAGGAATTCGGCCAAATACGCACATGCCAACGCTGAATTCAGAGTTATCGGGAAGCTCCCACAAGCAGATCATAGACATACTCCCAGGTCCTGAATGGAAGCCCCTTAGTTTCTATTTTGGATTAAGTTCTAGGACAGGCTTATGTTTTGGTTTACCGCAGTAAGATCAGGGACCAGGAGGAGCAGGTGCTCAGTGACCCAGTGGCCTGTCAGCAAGGGAGCAGAGGGCAAAAACAGCCATAGGGGGCAGCGTGGCCTTGTTTGCCTCAGGGATGCAGCATGGTGGCATTATGGAAACTTCACTCTGAGGGCCCTGGGCCATCATTCAAAAGGTCAAATATATTTTTTAGGGGCAGTGCCTAAAATGGTTGGGACAGTGGGAGAAACTACTCTTTTTAGATTAATGTCTGTACATCTGCTTTCCACATGTATCTCCGCTCTCTTGTTAGCAGGGCATTCCACAACTTAACGATTTTAGATACAACTTTTTAAAATAATCTCCTTCATGCTTCACTTCTAACCCACTTTGTGTTATCCAGTTGCATATTCAGAATTAAGAATTCTCAGTTCTTAATGTTAGAATTAAGATGGCTGAATTCTACAAGTGGATTGATAAATTTAGTGTAAATACGATCCTAATCCCAACAGTGTGATTACAACTGAATCTAAATGTGTGCACGAGAGAGATGATCACAAAAAGAGAACAGTTGTTTTAGATAGCCGGATTTTGGGTATCTTTTACATAATGTTAACAAGCTATAGTTTACTATTTTTAGGATAAGATACTACTTTTGGCAGAGTCCTGCCATTGCAAGTCATGTGGTTAAAACCTTGCTGTTTAAAAACAACAGATGCGGGGCTCCTGGGTGGCTCAGTAGGTTAAGTGTCTGCTTTCGGCTCAGGTCATGATCCCAGGGTCCTGGGATCGAGTTCTATGTCGGGCTCTGTGTCTCCTTCTCCCTCTGTCCCTCCCCACCCCTGCTTGTGCTCTCTCTCTCTCAAATAAATAAATAAAATCTCAAAAAAAACAAAAAAAAACAAAGCCCCAAACCCAGATGCAAGTATATGCAGGTAACATGACAGTGGCATTGCATAAAATCTGGAAGAAAGGAAAAAACACTGGAGAACTTAACCACTGCACCATATACCTCGGCAAACCTCCTTTGAGGTACTTGCTGTGTGCCAGGCCCTGGGGTGCACTCAGCTGATTTTCTAGTGCAGCGAACTGACAAACTGAGAAGCATCGCCTTTGGGATGCATGCTGGCGAGAGAAGTGTCAGTGGCCAGGTGGGAGGGCGGACGGGGTGGGGAGGAAGCCAGGACCCGCCGAGGCCTTGTGCACAGGCTTGGGGACGATGGGCGGCTCGCCAGGCCAAAGAACACGTTATGGCAAAAGAGCTTTTAAATCAGGAGGAATGGAAACCAAAAGCGGCAGGAATTTTAACAGAATTATAAAGTAATGTTTTCAGATCTGCAACTACCTCCCGAGGAATCCTCTCAGTATATACCAAAAAAACAGACGTCTGTTCCTAGAAACAAAGCCACTTAGCGAAATAGGAATATGTGGCTATTTCCTTATGAGAGGTTATTCTTTGATCTCATGGCCGAAATTCTTTACAGTAGCAGAACGATGTAAAGAACGGTGAGCCATGCACAGGGTCCCCATGAGTGCTGCCTCCGCTGGCAGTGGTGGCGGGGGTGCTCTCCAGGGGGTCACCAGGCATACACAGTGACGAAAGCTCGGTGAAGGATTTATAGGTGTAGCATGAACCCTTGTGTGTAGAGAAACAAACTTAAAAGTGATTTCATTGTATATTTGCACGTATATGAGCATAAAAGTCTGAGAGGAGATGTGCCCGATTGGTAAGGAAAGGGAGAAAACAGCTTTTCTCTTTAGTGTATTTTGCCCTGACTTTTGTCTGAGTATTTGATTTTCCTTTGTGGATGTATTCATGTGTCATTTGTATAACATACCCATGACTGCACACACGTCGGCATATGCACTCTCAAAGCCAAAAGCTAGCAGTCGATCAGATGGGTAAATGTATTTTCATTTGAGTGAAGAAGGAGATAAGGATGCTTACCTTTGTGCCACTTATTTGCCTTTGTTTTGGAAATGAGGAGCCAGTGCTGTTAGATGAGAGGTAGAAAGAATGGGGGATAAATGGAAAGGAGGAGGCAAAAATGGTAACTTGTTGGAGATGAAATGATCAAATTATGCCAGGAAAGCCACAGAGAATTTCATGGACAAACAGAAACAGCAAATAAATAGGTACCTATTCCATGCACATAGAATTCTATAAACAATTTATTTTGGGAAGGTTACTTAAAGGCATTTTTAATAAATTATTGTCTCCGAGGAGTAGGGAGAGGTTGGAAGGGAAACTTGCTTTCTAATTTTTTTCACTTTTAAATGAAAACTTGTATGATGTTTATGTATTAATGTAGCAAAAAAATAACTGAATTAAAAATACAGTAATCTTTTATTTGGATAGTAACTTTTATTATTGTCTTAATATTTAAGTATTTATTACTTAAAGATTTCAGTTTTTAAACTTTTGTTTGAAGAATAGCTCCCTTCCCCTAGTAATCAAGATAAAAGAATTAGGAATACATAGAAAAACATGTAAAATAAAAGGAGAAAAAAGAAAATCCCACAAAAGGGTAACAGATTTGGATATATGAAACAAAACATCTTGTAACAAAACAGCACATTTGTGATCAAAAGGAAAATAACAGCGTGCAGAAAAAATATTTGCCATGGCCGCACTATAAGGGAAGGGCCGAGTTTGACTTTAGGGGAGCTAAGAATTTCTGACAAGCCCTCTAGGTGATTTTAATATTCATCCTTTGTTGAGGGCAACCACCTTATACATTCATTGTGGTTTATTATTATTATTTAAGATTTTATTTTTTTTGAGTAATCTCTACATCCAACGTGGAGCTTGGCCTCATAACTCAGAGATCAAGTGTTGCATGCTCTACTGACCGTGCCAGTCAAGCATCTTTTTATCATTATTTTGTGTTGAAATTACTCCTGGAGTGCCTGGTTGGCTCAGTAAGCATGTGACTTTTGATCTCGGGGTTGTGCGTTCAAGCTCTATGTTGGGTGTAGAGATTACTTAAAAAAACAAAATCTTCCCCCCAAAAAAGAAAAAAAGGAATTACTTCTCTGCTCTGTCGCCCTTCCTGGGGACACAGTGTCCAGTAAATGTTGCCCGGATGACATGGAGACACATGAAGATGGTGGATTCTGCAGAGCGTGCCAGATCTAGAGGCATGTCCTGTGCAAAGACTGTAGAGTGACTCCTGTATGCTGGCATTCATTCATTCATTTAATAAACTTTATAAAAGCAACTACTCCATGCCAGGTGGTCTGCTGAGGTTACACGAGAAACACAATAGCTCTTACTTTTGAGGAACTTGGAAAGATGGCTGAGCTGGGACCTAGCACAGATGTGCCAAATGTGAGAGAACCTCTCCTGGCATTGCTGGGGGCCCAGGGGACTGGCCCTCCCAGCCTCCACAGGTGGGGGTGGGGAGGAGTAGAGGACCCCGCGTCTGCTCTCGGTCTTAAAAACTGAATGAGGGGATCCCTGGGTGGCGCAGCGATTTGGCGCCTGCCTTTGGCCCAGGGCGCGATCCTGGAGACCCGGGATCGAATCCCACGTTGGGCTCCCGGTGCATGGAGCCTGCTTCTCCCTCTGCCTATGTCTCTGCCTCTCTCTCTCTCTCTCTCTCTGTGACTATCATAAATAAATAAAAAAAATAATAAAATTAAAAAAAAAAAACTGAATGAGGCAGCCAGCTAACACGGGGAAGGGAGAGGAAGATAGGCTGAGGCCGCAAAGAACATCTGGTGTTGGGTGTGTGTCAGGACGTGTGTGCGGAGCAAACCACAGGTAAGTGTTTCTGGGCCTTGGCTTTTATTCGCTGAGTACTGTTTGTTGATTTATTTTCAAGAAACTTGATGTGGAGGTGGAAAGATTGGAAGGATGCAAAGGAAGGGAGGCACTAGATCATGGGGAACCTTACCTGATATGCCACACTTTGGACTTTATCTCCAGGTAGTGGAGAGCCGTTGAAGGCCTTTAAGCCAGCGTGGCTTCTGTGTTTGGGATGGCTCCTTTAGGTGGTGGCGTGCAGGATGGGTCGGAGGGTACGGGGCTGTGGAGCTGGGGAGGTCCTGAGGAGCCTGCTGTGGTAATGTGAGTCTAAAGCCTGAAAAGGCCGGCACAGGAGAGGGACAGTTAAGAAATATTTGGAAGGAAAAACTGGCAGTGCACTTGCTAATTGGCCGAATGTAGAAAGTGTAGGAGAAGGAAGAGTCCAGGATGACTCCCGGGGTTCTGTTTCTGGTGGCGCCACCAAGTGAGACTATATAGGAGGGAAAGGACAATCCGCTCAGTGAGGTGGTGGCTGAAAATGTGAAATGCAGCAGGTGGCTGGGGGCGGAAGATGGGTTTAGCTGTGGCCGTTAAGCAGGAGGTCGGGCAGCCAGGCAGCGGCGTGCTAGACAGCCCCAAACTAAGGGGAAAAGCATGGGCCTGGGAGCTGGAGCATCGATGAAACTTGCTCGGGAGAGGGTAGTGAATGGACTAGGGGAGGCTTCAGGCTGGAGTTCTGTGCATCAGCTTTAACAAGTGGGGAGAAGCAAAGGAACATGTTAAGGAGCCAAAAGAGAAGTAGGAGGAAGACCAGATGAGAAGAGGGTACTTCTAGGCGCTGTGGGAGGAGGCAGATTTGGGAAGAAAAAACTGCTTCAAAGTTTCTGATATCACAGAAAGGTCAGATAAAAAAAAAACCCGACTACCTATCAGATTTGGCAGGGGAGGTGTTATTGGTGACCTTGACAAGAAGAGTTTCAGTAGAGAGAGCAGAAACCAAATTGCAGTGGTTGAAGGATGAATGGGAGATGAAGTAGAGATGGAACATGTAGGCAGTGCTTTCAGGAAGAAACCGAGCGGAAGCCAGAGTGGGAAGAAAGAGGCTTTACTGCCTTATCAAGAACAGAAAGACTCCTTGCTTTTTTCCCACGTAAGAGAAGCAATTATGTTGTTTCCCAGTTAATTTTGTAAAGAAGATCGTGTGGTTCCCTGCTAGGTTTCCAGAGATGATTGTTATGTATTGAAACTATTACCAAAATAAGGCAGAGCTTTAAGCTACTTTAAAGAGCAGAAGAGTTGGACTCAGGTAGCCTTATCTTTAAACATAAATTATTTGTAGCCTGTGTCTCTAGGTTGAAAGGCATGGCAATAAATTGACTTAAATGACTGCGTAAAGCCGAATCTTTTAAAAGGAAGTAACAGAAATTCCAGAATGTTTTTCAATTTATCACTCAGTGATTTCTTCTTTCGGGAAGGCTTATGGCCTGTAAGTGGTATTTTTTTTTTTTGTAAGTGTTATTTGATTTTAGTTTACTTTAATAATATTTTAACATTACTATAATTACTATTACTCTAGTAGTAATAGTGTACATGGGTAGATTTAATTTATCTAAGATTGCATTTCATCACAGGTACTGATGATGTTGTAGGTCCTGAAGGAATGGAGAAATTTTGTGAAGACATTGGTGTTGAACCAGAAAATGTAAGTCTAACCTATTAAGTTGGGCAAATCAATTGATTATTTTCCTTAACTACTCTTTTGTCCTTTGACAAATGAAGCAACAGTAGAGACATAACAGTGGGTTAGTTTTATGAGACAATCTAAGAAACAAGTTCCAATTCTAATTTGATTTCTAAGCAGAATTTTTTCTTGTGATTGGTATGGTGTAACTAGTAATTTTTTTTCTCTTGTTTCATTTCTTGTATCTAAAAGATATGATAATAAAGTAATTAGATGTTTAAAAAATGATGTGGACCTGTGTACCTCCAGTAAGAGATCAGCCGGGAGACTGAGTCACGGTCTATCCTGTATTAGTGCAGGCTAATGTAGTTTATCCACATCTTTTTTTTTTTTTTTTAAGATTTATTTATTTATTTATTCATGAGAAACAGAGAGATTGAGAGAGAGAGGCAGAGACACAGGCAGAGGGAGAAGCAGGCTCCATGCAGGGAGTCCGACATGGGGTCTCCAGGATCACGCCCTGGGCCGAAGGCGGCGCTAAACTGCTGAGCCACCCAGGCTGCCCTGTCCACATCTTTGAATAATTAATAACTTGTAAGAGTTTTGTGTAGATTGTAATTATCAAGAATTTTTCATAGTTCTTTTGCTTCTGATTGAATTTAACTCTGGGATTGCTTTTTAGTATAAAGGTCTTAAGTATTTCCTTAAAAAAATCACATTAGAAAAAAATTACATTAGAAGTTAAGTTTATACGCTTAATGATTTTTTCCTACTTCTTATCATCATGTTATTGTTGAATATTTTTCCCTGTTCCTACATCATCTCTCTCAAACTAAAATGAAAAATGATGCTCATACAAGTGTCTGGCTCATTAACTGTGCAGTTTAATATTGCATTAGCCTCCAGTTTAACAAATATGTCTCAGATCCTAAATGAATTTATGATCTAGGAGGGATCTTAAGAGATCATCCCCCTCATTCAGACTCTTCTTGGCTCGTTAGCTGGTGCCCATGCATATATCATGTTTTTAAAGAAAGCTAGAAATCAAAAAAAAAAAAAAAAAAAAAGAAAAAGAAAACTAGGAATTAAGACCATACTTTTTTGTTAAAACTTTTCTCTACTCTTAATGTTTCTGTGCCTCTGTCCTCCTCCCAAATCCCCCCAACACTTTACATTTTCTAAAGAGCCTTTAGCTCACTACATGGATTTTTGTCTTGTATTTTTTTTATTTTAATGTGATCCAGTTCAGGTATCTTAATAAATTATTCAGCTTGCAATAAAGGTTTGGGGACAACTGGGCCAATAGTATTTGCCTGATGTGGTCATAGACTAGTCATAGACCTAGGAAAGAACATTTTACTGGCTGTATGAAGGAAGTTTCCTGATGGCCTGGGCCAAGGTTGGCAGAGTGTTTGTTTTCTGGACTGAGTAGTAAGAAGTGAGAGTGACTTGGGCCTGAGAGAGGACCTAAAGGTTCTACCCAGAGCATAGTCATCAGCACTTAGCCAGAGGGGGCTGGAGGACCCCAGTGGGGCCCAAGGGGAGGAGATCCAGAGGCCAGGCTCAGGCCTCCAGGGTGAGAGGCATTGTGTGAGCATTTACTCTCAGCGGCCTAGAAGGACCTGTGGGGTGGAGGGAGTGCTGGTGTTGATGCTAGTTCTTCAAATACCAGTACTCCATAATGGAGAGATGCTGTTATTATCCTTTTGGGGAGCAGTCATGAGGCCTCTCGTTGTCAGTTTCTGTAGGAAAAGAGTCTTGAAATGTCGAGTCACATTGAAGACTAGACTAGGAGACTGAATTTAGAATATTTTTCCGAAGTATTTATTACCGTGCTTCAGTTCTAAGATGCCACTGATAGAGGCTGTATTTTTTATAATCACTAAGAAAAAATGTTGCCAAGTAAACTCTGATATGCATCAATTGTGAATGCATCCCAATTTCAGAAATGTTAACATCTGAAAAATAAGCAATAAAATAATTTTTTGAAGGCTTGTCTTCACTGTTGCCTTAACATTTTAAAACAATTTAAAGCTTTTAAAAGCCCTCACCTTGCCTTTACAGCTTATGAAATTTAAGCAGGCTTGTAAGATTCAAATTTTACTGCTGTCATTTACGAAGGCAACAGCAAAATCCTTTATTTAAGTAATTAACATCCTGATTAGCTACCATAAGAAAAGGTCCATTTTGTGTAAAGACACACTCACTGTAAATATCAACTTGGCTTTTTAGGCACATTTCTTGCATACTTTGTGTGTGTGTGTGTGTGTGTGTGTCTGTGCCCTAACCATTTTTTTTTTTTACTTAACAAGTGTTAATGTGGAACTGTAAACCTTTCTGATAGAGGATTTAATGTAGATATTGTTTGAGAACATACTGAGTTTGAATTAGAAAAATGTGGGTTATTTTACGTAGGTAAATTGCTATTCTGGAGTCAGAATTCCAAGAAAAGCTGAGGCATGAGGAGAAATGTGTAAATTGGAAGAACATGTAAGCTCTTTTTGGGAAGTTATGAGTAGATCCTGGCCTCTTAAGTTAAAGCTTTTTAAACCTATTAAGCAATGATATCTTGTGATGATATGCATTGGTTTGCTAATCAGTACTAGTAATCTACCTACTAGTCTGGATTTTTTAACCTAAAAAACCTAGTGACTTTAAAAACTGGTTATGTACTGATTTAATTGAGATTTGATGAAAGGGCTTAGATTCAGTGGGTTCTCATTGATAATAATTTCCAAGGTGGAAAACCATGAAGTCAGCATCAAGAGAAAGCCTTTCATTAATCTTGCAGTTATAAATTAGACAAAGCTGGACATTTTTAGTCTACAAACTAACTTGTTGGCAAACAAAAGGACAGACGTTCTGTACCTCCTAAATGACTATTCTGGAGTACTTAATGTGTGTGTTGGCTCTCAGAGTCTAATTAAATCATCTAAAGTGATTTCTAATTGACTGCTTGCCTTAATTTTTTCATGTTATATCATCCTCTTACCACCATCACCACCTGACCCAGTGGGGCTACATAGTGGAGGACTAATATTTTAGGGCAGTTCTTCTGGTAGTTGACGTGAGCCTTCAGGTCCTGTGTAAAGAAATCAAATTAGCTGCCAAATGTGGAATATGCTAGTCCCTGGCCACCTTTTGCAGAAACATCTATTTTTTTCCCCATTGGTTTTTTTCCCCCATTGGTTTTTGTTACAACAAATGGAGATGTAGCCATTCTGCAGTGTGTATGTGGTCCCCAGGTCAGGACTTGGGTGTCCCTTAGATATGGGACAGCCGTCCAGGATACTCAGTCCTGCAGAGTGTCCGGAAGGTCCTAGGAAATCCCTGTCCCTCTTCTTTACCTGTCTAGGGCTGACCTACTTTCTTTTTTAGTTACTCCTCCTCTAATCTTGGGTCTTTGAGGTAGGTGAGACGGGAAGGCTTCCACTTCTTCCCCAATCATGGATGGGTAGACCCGGCTGTGTCCCTGTGCAGGGTCCTGGACAGCTGGAAGCTGATGTACTTTTGAAATGTAACTTTGTGTTTACACCTTTGGTGTTTATTAAACTCACCATCAGGATCTATGGGCCATCTCTTCCCTAAAGCAGCTAAGTGATAAGCAGTGCCGTAAACTAGAGTCATCACGGTTCCTGATACCTGCAGGGTCTCAGAAGATTCACTCAAAGCAAGAGCGGTGCCCCACTGAGGAGTGATTGGGCCGTGCCCCTCAGCCTGTGCTCGGTCCAGGCACAGCGCTCTTTAGGAGAATGTTGAGCCACTTTTATATCCTATTCCTCCAGTGTATATGGTTCCGTTCAGCATTAATGTGTTTGTGATACAACTCCACTATTACATATGTCCTGCCACCCACCTTTTATTTTTTAGCCCTCTGCTCCTGTTCTTTTCACTTAATAAACCTTGGAGATTGTTCCCTGTTTCTGCTGATAGCTCTCCTTGGTTTGTCTTAATGGCAGCATTGTATTCCTTTGTGTGGAGAGTATTCAGCAAGGAAATGTTTAATTAGTCCCTTATTAATAGATGTTTGGTTGTTTCAGTCTTTTGCTGCTATAAATAATACCACAAAGAACATCGTTGCATATACATCTTCGTGTGTATGTGCAGGTATATCTATAAGAGAACTTTCCTTAAGTCCTGGAATTGCTGAGTCAATAACTCATTTTTAATTTTGATAAATATTGCAGAACTGCCCTCTGGAGAGGTTAATGGCTTTACACTTCCACCATCATGCATCATAAGAGTTCATGTTTCCCTAAGGTCTTGTCAGCAGACTAATTATCAAACTTTTTAGATGTTTTCCAAACTAGAACTGGTTTTTGAAGTTACCCTGTTCATATTTCAGTGACTGAACAGAAGCATTTGGGAAGTTGTTGATATGTCTCATTTCCTAATATCTGTCATTCTGATTTGATCAGTCTATTTTTTTGTTTGTTTGTTTGTTTTTATACAGGTAGTTATGCTTGTCCTAGCTTGGAAACTGGATGCACAAAACATGGGTTATTTTACTCTACAGGAATGGTTAAAAGGAATGACTTCTCTACAGTAAGTCCGGAGGCTGCCCTGGGCTGGAGGTTGGGGGGAGGCGTCCATGCACTCCCCAGCTGGCTGCTTCCTCCCCGGGATGTCAGGGAGCCTGGGTTAGGTGACTGGAGGAAGCCACGTGCTCTGGCCGACTTCCCTGTGGCCATAGGTATAAAGACCAAATCCTATTTTTATATGGTGAAGAGAGCTCATTATGCATGAATTTTAGCAATTAAAATTTTTATACAATGTATATTGTTTATTTTCGTATTCTTCTAGAACAGATTTGCCCTGTAGAAATAGACCAGCCTCTTCTCGTAGATGTCAGCCACATGTATAATTTTAAATTTCCTAACAGTCGCATTAAAAAAAAAGTTAAACTAAAGGTAAAATTAATTTTAACGTATTTTATTTAGTATCCAAAAATGTTATTATTCCAACATATAATCAGTATTTTAAAAATTAATGAGCTGTTCTTTCTTCATATTAAATCTTCAAAATCTGGTGTGTATTTTATATTTCTGATCTGTCTCATTTTGCATTAACTGCATTTGAAGTGCTTGGTAGCCCCATGTGTCCAGTGACTACCATATTAGCACACTTGCAGAGCTTAAAAAATAGCAAAGGCAAATTACTAGCATCTGGTTTACATGTAGGGAGAAAAAGTTGACTAGAAACTTTGACTTTCAAATGAGATATTTGATGTCTTCTATTTTATATATTCTGATTTTAGCTTTGGCAAAATTGGAGCTTGATTACTCGAGTGATTAAAAAGTAGTAATTAGTGGTTTTTTTTTATGTGTCCACTTTGCACGCACGTGTATGTGTGAGGGTGTGCACGCACTTGAGTTTCACTCAGGAAAACAGTTGCTACTCTGTACTCTGCATTGAAGGATACGGTGGGGATGGGTGAGTCAGTGTTTTTGTGGTCCTGGAAGACGAAGTGCTGATTCTTCGCATGAGAAGTTTGGTCTAAAATGCTGGGGATGGCTCTTTATTTTCACTTTAACTTGGAATAACAGACTTTGATACTTACTGGATTGAAATTGGAGTGGAAATGGATTTATGGTTTTATTTAAATAATTTTGGAATTTGCCAACTTGCTAGCATTGTCCATTTATTATTGATGAGAGTGCTTTCTTTGCACTTGGTTGTAGTAGTCTTATTGTACTTTTCACTGCTCTCCCGTGTGAGCCTCACGGCTGCCTGCTAAGGAATACAGATCAGGCTTTATCCTGCACATTTTGCAAATGAAGAAACTGAAGCTTAGCCAGGGATACAGGATACGTTAAACTAAGTGGCAGGATTGGGAAGAAAACCCCAAACTTCTGATTCCTAAGTCATGTTCTTCCTCTAACAGTTACCGTCTGATGGCAAACGAGTGTTAGGTAAAAGTCAGGTCACCCTTGATACACCTTCCTGACAGCATGCTCTAGAATTTTAGAGTTAAGTCCTCTGAAGTCTCTTTAAAAATTGTGGTTTTTGGTGTTGGGAACATGCTAACTTTGATTGTTTTCCTCGCTGCCTTCCGAACACAGCACAGGATGGCTGCTCCTTTTGAAGGGTCCCTGGAGATGATGAACGTGTGGCCATATCAAGATTTTATTTCAAGGCTTCAGAGGAAGCACCATTAATATTTTTCAGGCACATTTTCATTTGTCTTAAGAGGGAGGGGATAATACCCATTTTTATGTGCTTCTACATTCTTTTTCACATTTGTCTTTACAAAAGAATGTTACACAGTGCCAGGCCTTTCCCCCTGTGTTTTGAGGGTCACGCTGCCTGGGAGGTATGCAGTTTCCTGGAGGAGGTCTGTGTATTTTTTGGGGGAGGGGGCAGTCAGAAGGGGATTGCAGGGACTCTGCCGGATCTTTGTTGGGAACTCCGCTTAACACTTGGTGTGACACATTTGGTGGCAGATGGGTTCCTGTAGGAGACTGCCACTTGGTCCTCGCCCTTCAGGGTGTAATGACAAGCCTGACCCCCTCTAGGGACATTGAAGAGCTTGCTTTGTTTTCTTGGTCTGAAACTCTGAGATTGCTTTCCTCATCAGTGAGGAAGAGATCATTAGAATAACCTTTAAGGTTCTGTGTAGTTCGGAATAGTCAAGTTTTAAGAATGTCCGCTCCCCCTCCCTCTGACCTCCCTAGATTGATCATTTGTTCAGCAAGTATTTAAGAGGCCGGGAGGTGCCAAGCACACTGTTCTACATCCTGGGGAAATAAAATCCACAAATTAGACAGTCCATTCAGGGCAGGGACTTGGAAGCAAAGTCCAATCAAAAGACTCAAAAGTCAAAAAAAAAAAAAAAAGACTCAAAAGTCTTTTGACTTCTTGAATTAAGTAGTGTTGTGTGTGTGTAAGGTGTGCATGCTCAGTAAATAAGAATGCTTAGAAGTGATCACTGACGTGCTGTAAAGATGGGAAGTCGTCCATCTTCTGGGTTACCGATTTTGTCTTCTGTTTGGGATTTTTGTTCTTGTTTGCTCTCTTTCTGGTTTTATTAAACCTGTCTAGTGAAGTGTTTTAAACTCAAACTGGAATTAAAGTGTGCATGAGAATGTCTGTATATACGATACCTATTTGATTAAAATGCGAAGTTTGAAGAAATGGCTCCTGTACAGTGGGTGTGTGTGCTAGAAACAGAAGGGCCACGGGTTTTCGAACCAGAGGTTTGAATCTGCTCCACCACTTCCTGCGGGTCTGGCCGCAGCTCCAAAACCAGGAAGGGCCGGTGATGCGCTGGGGCTCACACCTGGGCTCTGAGAACTCCCCCTCTTTGACCCCGGCCGGGGAGCGGGGCACACGGCAGGCACAGCAGCTGCCAGCAGCTGGTGGGGAGCAGTCGTCCCCAGGCTCCGTAGATCATTCTCAGTCCGGAGAAGGCCCAGCTCGTTTCAGTTGACTACTTGTTTTACTCATCGCCTTGGTTGCTTCTGATGAATTAAGCTTATAGAGATGTGTACGCAGAACAGAACAAAAGTGTGTTAGAGATGAGGCTGACTTTGCATAGAACTGATGATGGGCTGGAAAAAGACCTTTGGCTAAGTGAAGGGGTGAAGAAGGCCTCTCCGTGGGTCATGAGAACTGCTTTCCATTTTATAACCTGTGAGGCTTGTTGTCCTGGTTCCTGGTGCTTCTGAATCTGTTGCAGGAGCAAAACTCACATAAGAAATGGCCCCACAGTATGTGCACATTTTGTTTTGGGAAAGGACAGTCCCTGAGTGGTGTGGCTCGGTCTGCCCCTCTAAGGCTACCACGGGCTTCCTTACGTGTGGTGCATGGAAAAGCAGGGGAACGGGCTGAAGACGGGGCTGCTTTTCCCAAGCCAGTTTCTTCCCAGGCCGGGTTAGGAGGGACTCCGTCCGCACTTGATCTCGTTGAGCGACCACTAGGTGGCAGTGTGTGGTCCGGGCCGGGAGACTCTGCGGCCTGTTCCCTGGTGGGGTCAGGCCAGAGGCTTCTGTGGGGTCGGGCCCCTTTCAAAGCAGATGAAACTCTTTAATGATGATATTAGCTCCAGCCTGTGTAGCTAACTGTCTTTAGTACATACGTGAAGTGAAAAATTCACTTTGGGCATTTTATGCTTTGCACTCCGGACAGGATCTCTGAGTGTCTTTCAAATGTAAGGACATCTGTGACCAGGGTGGTGGCTGGACTCCCGGGCTTGCTACTGAACTTCACATGTGGCCTTGCGGTTCTACCCAAAGAGTCACAGCTACCTCGTTTTCTTAGCTGGGTAGCAGTAACACTTGTCTAGGTGAGGAGTCCCTGCCCTTGAATCTGTTGAGACAAACATCCGTTCCTCCTCTCGTTGGGCCAGGAGTACACTAAACCACCTGCCAAAACCTGGCCAATTTCCTGTGGTTTTGGTCCTTAACCTTCCTTTCCAGTGAAGAGTAGAGACCTTGGCCTTAAATATTTTGGTGTCTGTTTTCTTTGACCCTCCCCCATATTATTAATAAAATATTAGTTATTTATACTATTTAAAAAATCATACAGAAGAATGTCCAGTGCAGAGTAAGTCCTGCTCCCCTCCTGCCTCCTCCACTCCTGTTTCTTGTGTGTCCTTTTAGCCTCCATCACTCCTCACTTGGAGTCTGGTACTAGATCTCTAACAAGGCTGTCAGCATCTTTTTTTTTCTTCCCAGCCTTTCTCCACAGAGATCCAGAGTGAGCTTTTCGAGATGCAAGCTCAGCGGTTGTGGTCTCTCCAGGAGGTGGCTTCCACTGTTTCTAGGATTTAACTTAAAAAAAACAAAACAAAACAGTATGGACCACAAACCTCTTTAAGGCCTGGCCCCACCTCCCTTTCAGCCTTATCTTAGAGCTACTTCCCCTCTTCATCTACCCTGTCTAGTCACTGTGGTTTCCTTTCTGTCTTTGGCATGCCTCCTTCTGCCACTGGGCCTTTGCACATGCTGTTCCCGTTATCAGGAAAACCTCCCTGCTAAAAATACTTAGCTTCTGCTTTTAGTTGTCAACTAACATTTCAATTCCTCAAAGAAGCCTTTTCTAAAATAGTTGAATTGTTATCTTTTTTAGTTTACAAACATCAGGAAGAAATAAAGGATCTTCTAAATTATTATAGATTCATAGAAATGAAACATTTATTCTAGTTTTGGGGTTTTAGATATTTTATTATCTCAGTAGATTATGGGGACTGTTTTGTAGTTAACTGCAAAAAACAAAAAAGCCTTCACAAATTTATTACTAAAAAATAGATCAGTGTGCTCTCCTATGAACCATATTTTAGTTTATAAACTATATAAAATATTTACATTGATGATACTTATAATATGTATTATTTATGCTTAGTAGCAGTAGGTAAATGCTCTACAGAGGAATACAAGGAAGCACATCCAGCTTTGAAAAACCTTAATATCTCTGGAAATGGTGACTCTTTGTTCTCATTTTTAAGGGCTAGATATTAGGAACAGAAAGTCAGTTTGTAGTAATAGCCAATTAGTCTACTTCCTCAGGAAAAATAAACAGTTATGTCACTTACCTATAAAAATAGGGCTTTATCACTACCAAAGCTCCCTGGAGAAATGGCTGATTTCAAGTCTAGGGTAGAGAAAGTACAAGGTGAGCTAGAATATGTTGTGCCAGAAGGAAGGACATGCTCTCAGAGACTGACAGGGACACGTCAGAAGGACACTGGCACCAGCTTGAAGGGGTGACTGCCCAAATGAGGACAGTTTGTGCATCGAAAAGAATAAAGGCAACTAAAGATTAATAACACTGAATGTCAAGAAGCAAAAAGCCTTAAGTCCAGAAAAGAAGAAAGGTGGTGAGTAGAACTTTTCTTTACAGAAGAACTCCAGGCAGTAGGGTAATAGCAAGATAGAGTCAGAAGAGTCACCGTTTTGTGTCTTCAAATGTAGAGTCAATGCAGGCAGGTACCACCAATGGATGCTGAAACCACCAGATGAAAGGTTGAGGAGGAACAGGATTCACAGTCTCTAGGTAGCATCCTGTAGATAACATACTATTTCAGAGGAAGGAAAGTGCCTGTGAGTGGAGAATTGGGGGGGGGGGGGGATGTTACTCTTAATTGAAAAATTTAGTGTCACTCGTAATGGGACAGACCGACATCACGAGCCTCCTCGTGGGATACAGTGAACTTATCTGACAAAGTGGGATCCTACAAAACAACTTTTTTCAAAGATGACATGGTCAAGAAAGATGGAAGAAAGGGCAGGATATCCTTCTAGGGCCTCAGGAGATAGACAGTTAAAAGCAGTGCATGAGCCTTGATGGGATCCCGCATCAAGAAAAAGCATCTATAAAGAAAATTGAGGGAGCAATTGGGAACCTTGTATATTAGCTAAGAAAGTTCACATTGATAACACATTACGAGGGATGATGGTGTTTAAATGTTCGGGAGTGAAGTGCCATAGTGCTGGCATGTTACTTTCAAATGGTACAGGAAATGCACGTATGTGAGAGAGCACAAATATGACAGGAGTTGTTTTGAGCCGAGGGGATGGGAGTACAGGTGCTTATTTACTATTCTTTCCTATTTTTCTGTACATTTGAAATTTTTTCAAAATCAAAAATGTAGGAAAAAATAGATCATCACGAATGCATTCCGGCTCTAGGGTTTTTATTCTGTCTTTTGGTAATATGTTTTATCTTACTGCCCCAAATAAGAAAAATAAAAAAACAAAAAAACCCAAAACCTCAGGTTGTAATTTGCCTTTATTCTGTTTTTCTAGATGTGATACAACAGAAAAACTCAGAAATACTTTGGATTACTTAAGATCATTATTAAATGATTCTACAAACTTTAAACTTATTTACAGATACGCGTTTGACTTTGCACGGGTGAGTTCTCTGGAGCCTATCCAGATGTTTTCCTCTCCTCCCTCCCCTCCCCCCCCCCCTTTTTATTACCTTTTGAGGTTTGTTTTTACATGCTGCAAGCAAAGAAGTTGAGTAAGTTACTCCCAGGGTGCTAGTTAGAATCTCCTTCTACATGTACGCTTTCTAAACTAACTGATTCTGGGCAAAAAAATGTAGGATGTTAGCGAAAAGCCGTGGTGGCCGACCTTCATAGCTCTTGCGATTGGCTCAGAAGTCGTGAATAAATGGGCTAAATGTCTTTTAGATAGGCTTGGTAAAGCTTTTCATTCTCATGGAACAACAAACCTTCACCCATTGAGTTACTGCAATGAACTACTCAGATCCAATCCAGTTTCACTTTGGGTGCTGTGTTGTGTTTGGAAATCGTTTGAATTTCAAAACCCAAGCTAATTTCAGTGAATGTTACTCAAACATAGTTTCCAGTCATCGTTTTGAAAAGTTGAGCATCTTGTTCGTCACCTAGTGAGGCCCGCCCGAGTGTGTGACAGTGGTTCCACTGGAGTGAAATGAAGCCTTGTTTTCTCAGCCCGGTCACCACTGGTAGCGAGTTCGAGGCACCAGTTGGCTTGTATTCATTCGCACACGGTCCACGGCCCACGCAGTTCTACCTTAGTCAGGAAGGGTGGGGTGTTTTCTGTTAGGTTAGCCTGTTTGGTCGATTCAGGTGAGTAGGCTTCCTTGATTGATCGTGTTTTTAGAGAGTTCAGTGGCAGAGACCTTTTTTTTTTTTCTTCTTACCACCACGCTGATCTTTTTCACTTTCTACGTGCTTTGGCTCTGCTGGTTCAGCACTGAAGGTTGACTTGATAGTGAATTCTGGTGCACCTGTGATAACAGTACTCATTCTCTCTGGTGTCCTCATTTGCGAAGTTTTGCATTTTCAGAACCTTCAAATCACGACACGTGAAAGTTTATGGACGTCAGAGGTGCTATGGTGACGTTCAGATACGATGTTCTACTAAACGGTGCTTGTAGACGTGTAGCTAGGAGTTATTTGCCAGATGCTTTTAGAGTAGAGACGCGGTTTCTAGGCTTAAATGTTTTATTACAGGGGACCGCTTTCCTCCAAAGTCAGCTGTTTCTGACTGTGTGGGTGAGGTTTGTTGAGCAGCATTCCATCTCCTCACCAAGATAAGCCCCGTTTTCTAGCTTTCCTATTTGGGGCCAGAGCTGGCCACGTACCCGCTGCTTCACCCCAGGTTCCCTTTGCTCCTCTGGCCTTTCCCCGCCGACCCCGGGTCGGTCAGTGGGGCCTGCCTCTGAAGGGCTCCTGGGCTTGCCTCTTTCTCGGTGCTTCCACCACAGCCTGGCCGACCGAGGCCCCTGTTCTCCCTGCCTCCGCTGCCTCAGTCACCTGATCTCCACATTCCGTCCCTTCTCGTCCAGCGTCCCGTCAGCAGGGTGTCCCTCGTCTGCCTTCAGCCCCAGGGTCGCTGGGCCACCTTCCAGCTCACCAAGGCCTTCAGCCCCGGTGCCTTCGTGCCTCCCTGCGTGTGGGGTGCAGCTCCCCGCCCCCCACTGTCTGAGGGACAGGCCGGGGTGGTTTTAGTTACTTCACAGTGGAGGAGAGTGGTCCTCAGAGAAGTAGTGACGTTCTCCCGGGTCTGCTGTCCATCAGGGGGAGATCCAGGACCCAGACCCAAGTTCTGGCCCCAAGTCTAGGCCGCGGGCGGCCCCGGGCTTCCTTTCTCGCAGGACGCCTGTGTTGTGGTGAAGTCCAGGCGGCCGTTCACTGCCCGCCTTCTCGGCCCTTCTGCTCTCTGCCTGCCGTCATGCCGGACCGCCACCCGGACCACCACCCGGAGCCGCCAGCGCTCCACAGCTCTCTCCTGCATCGGGCTTCTGGGCCCAGCCTCCCGTGTCCATTTGCCCGCAGGTCCCCCCGCCACCCCGCCTTCCCAGCCCGGAGGGGGTCGTGCACCTTCCCTGCGGAGCCCTGCCACCTGCCCTGGCGGGGCTGTGGTTTGGGTGCAGGCCCTCGTTTTTTCTCTGACAGACCCCAAGGGACTGTGTGTTTTCTTTCTTTGCAGCCCCAGTAACGGCCAGCAGAGTTCTTTGCTTTTAGTGAGCATTACCAGTGAATTGATGAGCCCTTGTATGTAGGATGAATAACTGCCACCCACATTCAGTCACTGCCAGATAGGCTCGGCCGGGCCGACCTGTGCTCTCAGATGGATTCGTTATCGAATCCCTTGGTTTGGTTTGTTTAGCTGGACCTCACAAGTTTTGAGATATTGTACATATTTGCATTTGCATTCAGTTCAAAATATTCTCCCATCTTCCCCTGTGATTTTCTCCTTTGACCCACTGGTTATTTAGAAGTGTGTTGTGGTGTTATTTCCCGAGTATTTAGGACTTTCTGAATAATCCTATTACTGATACCCAGTTTAATTCCGCTGTGGTCGGAGAACATACCCTGTGTAATTAGAGTTGACTCAAACGTATGGAGACTTGGTCCGTGCTCCAGAATACGATCTGCCGTGATGAATGTTTTCTGCGTAAAACACATAAAAGGAATGGGTATCCTGCTGCTGTTCGGCGAGGCGTTCCATGGCTGTCTATTAGGTCACGTTGCTTGATGGTGCTGTCGGGTCTTCTGTATCCTTCCCAGGGCCTGCCTGCCAGGTTCCGTCCATTACTGAGAGAGGAATGTGGAGGTCTCCAGCAACATCTATCCCTCCTGTCATTTCTGTCATGGGGTTTGAAGTGCAGACACTAGGATTAGATACACTTCATATTGTTACGTCCTCTTAAAAGAATTGACTCTTTAGCATCATGAAACGTCTCTTTGCCTTATTATTCCGTGCTCTGAAATTTACCTTGATACCAGTGGAGCCATTCCTGCTTTCTTTCGATTAAAGCCTACATGATACGTCTTTTTCCATCCCTTTAACATCAACGCATTCGTGTCTTTTTCTTTTTCCCATGTCTTTATTTTTAAAGTGGGTTTCTATAGGTAGGATATAGCTTCATATGAGTAGCATATAGACAGTCCGACAGTATTTGTCTTGAGATGCTTAAACCATGTACATTTAATGTAGTTACTGGTATGGTTAAATTTACACCTCCCCCTTAGTATTTTTTTTCCCCTGCATGTCTCATCTGTTTCATTCCTTTTACCCTTTTATCATGACTTCCTTGTATTGGGGTATTTTTTTTTTAAATGATTCCATTTTAGCCATTCCATTCCACTATTGCCCTAATAGCTGCCTCTGTGTTTCATTTTCCTTGTGGTTGCTCTAGGCTTTACACATACATCTTCAACTGTTCACAGTCTACCAATAATGTGACACCACTTTATGGATAATGCAAGAACCTTTACAGCAGTAGACTCTGATTTTGCCCCTCCATACTTTACTGCTGCTGCCGTTGTACATTTTTCTTAAACACACACTATGAAACCTCACAGAGTGGGGCACCTGGGTGGCTCAGCCGGTGAAGCATCTGCCTTCAGCTGAGGTCATGATTGTAGGGTCCTGGGATGGAGCCCAGTGTCAGGCTCCCTGCTCAGTGGGGGACCTGCTTTCCCTCTCCCTCTGCCTCTCCCCCCGCTTTTGCTCTTTTTCTCCCTCTTTCAGAATCTCTCTAATAAATAAATAAAACCTTAAAAAGGAAAATCTCACAGTATACTGTCTCAGTCCCTCCAGACTGCTGTAACAAGGTACCAGAGACTAAGTAGCTCATAAGTTACAGAAACTTGTTTCTCAGAGTTCTGGAGGCTGGGAAGTCCAGCATCAAGGTGACCAGCAGGCTAGGTCTCTGGTGATTGCCCGAAAGCCTGGCCCTCCGATGGCTGTCTTTGTTGTAACTTCAGGTGGCAGAGGGAGGAGGGAGCTCCCCTGGGGGTCTCCTTTTATAAGGGCACCCCTCTCCAGCCTCAGGACCTAACCACTTCCCAAAGGCCGCACCTCCTAATAGCTGTCACCGTGGGGGTTAGGATTTCAACATAGGAATTTAGGGGGAGCCACAAACGTCAGACTATACCATAAACCATTCCCATTTTTGCTTTACATAGGCAAAAATATCTTTTGTATGCCACTTTTGTACTTTTTATTTCTTTTGCATAGATCCACCTTCCTTCCTGGTGTTGTTTGCCTTCTGCCTAAAAAATTCCCTTTAACATTTCTCCTAGTGAAGATTTTCCGGTGATGAGTTCTCTTAAGCTTTTAATTTGCCTTCCATTTAGAAGGCGCTTCTCTGGGTTAAAGAGTATAGATTGACTATTCACATTCTTTCAGTACTTTAATCTCTCTCCCTTGTCTTCTGTCTTGTGTAGTTTCTGACGATAAGTCTGATGTTGTTCATTTTTCCTTTGAACACGGTGTCTTGTTTTCTAACAGCTTCTATTCTTTTTTGCTGCTTTTTGGCACGTTGATTATGATACGCCTTGGCATAATTTTCCTTGTGTGTATTCTGGTTAGGGTTCGTTCAGTTTTTTGAATCTGTGGACTTATACTTGGTACAAAGTTAGGAAGTTTGTCAGCTGTTGTTTCTTCCATATTATTTTTGTTCTCCCTTTCCATCTTTCTGGGACTGCAGTTACACCTATGTCGGATGCTTGGTATTGTCCCACAAGCCAGTGATGCCATGTTTAGGGTTTTGGCGTTTCCACCCCCCTACCCTTTGTTATATTTCTTACTACATCTGCTAATTTTAATCTTTTCTTCTACAGTGTCTAATTCTGCTGGTAATCCTAGCCTGTATGTTTTTCATTTTAGGTGCTGTATTTTTCAGCTGTAGATGTTCTATTTGAGGTTTTTTAATACCCATTTCTCTCTTTATTATGTGATAGTATCTTCCTCTATCTTGAACATCTAGAACATGGATATAACAGGTGTTTTAACAGCTTTGTCCTCTGGTACCATAACATCTGTCACTTTGGGGTCTCCCTTTTTTAAATTTCTAATCTTGATTATGGGTCATATTTGACAAATTCTTTGCATTCCTAGTAGTTTCTGGGT